CTTTTCTCAGCTATTTGTAAGGGTTCCTCAGACAACCACCTTGCCTTCTTGTACTTCTTTTTCTCGGGAATGGTTTTGGTCAAAATAACAGTCCTTTATCAGATATGTCTTTTGCAAATATTTTTTCCCAGTCTGTGACTTGTCTTCTCATTCTCTTGACTTTGTCTTTCACGAAGCAGAAGTTTTTTTATTTTAATGAAGTTCAGCTTAGCAATTCTTTCTTTCATGGATTATACCTTTTATGTTGTATCTCAAAAGTCATTGCCATCCCCATAGACTTTCTTCTATATTATTTTGTAGGAGTTTTACAGTTTTGTGTATTACATTTACATAAATATTTACATTTTCAGTTACTTTTTGTGAAGGGTGTAAGGTCTAGGTCTAGATTTGTTTTTTGCTTGTGGATATCTAGCTGTTCTCTCATGGTGTGTTGAAAGGAGTTTCTTCGCTCCATTGCATTGTCTTTGCTCCTTTGTCAACAGTTATTGACTATATTTATGAGGCTCTATTTCTGCAGTCTATTCTCTTCAGTTGATCTATTTATCTATTCTCTTGCCAGTCCCACACTGTTTTTATTACTGTGATTTTTTTTTTTTTTTTTTTGGTAAGCCTTGAAGTTGGGTGGTGTCAGTCTTCAAACTTTGTCCTTTTCCTTAAATAATTGTGTTGACTATTCTGGGTCTTTTGTCTCTACATGTAAACTTTAAATTAGTTTGTTGATGTCCACAAAATAACTGGCTGGGATTTTGATCCTGATTGCACTGAATCTGTTGCAGGAAGGGGGACCCCTTCCAGGGCCCAAAACTGGGCTCTCGTCTAACACTCGGAAATGAATTGTCCGAGGAGACACATGTGCTGATAAAGCAAGAGATTTTATTGGGAAAGGGCACCCGGGTGGAGAGCAGGAGGGTAAGGGAACCCAGGAGAACTGCTTTGCCGCGTGGCTCGCAGTCTTGGGTTTTATGGTGATGGGATTAGTTTCCGGGTGGTCTTTGGCCAATTATTCTAATTCAGAGTCTTTCCTGGTGGTGCACGCATCGCTCAGCCAAGATAGATGCTAGCGAGAGGGATTCTGGGAAGTGGACAGACACGCGGTGTCTCCTTTCGACCTTTCCCGAACTCTTCCGGTTGGTGGTGGCTTATTAGTTCTGTATTCCTTATCAGGATCTCCTGTCATAAAACAACTCTTGCGAATGGTTACTATGGTGCCTGGCCAGGGCGGGCGGTTTCAAACAGTGTGCTTCCCCTAACAACTCCCCCCTGAGAGACGTCATACTCAAGATGCTTCTTGGGAATTGGGGCGGAGGTCTCCTTCTTCTGTAACTTCTTCCTGCTGTGCCTGGGCGTAGGCCTGCCTAGCAGAGCAGAAGTCTCTCTCTACCTGATTAAGTTGGGGTGTTCCACATCTGAAACCAGCTTTCACTCTTGTAATAACAGCAATTTAGTTTGAAACTTTTGGCACCTCTCAGAGATGAAATAGACAGAGGCCAAACAGGAGACCTAACAGGATGGTCATCACGGGTCCCCAGAAACAGGAGGCAACATTTGGGGTGAGGCCTGCAGGGTTTGTGACTTTTTTTTTTTGATTGGCTGGTGGTGAAGCAACAGAGCCGTGCTCCAGGAATCTCGTGTTTAGTCTGAAGTCACCATCCTCCACCTGGGTGGCGGCTCCAGTTCTGTAGAAGAACTCAAAAGACATTGTTATGCATATTTCTTTGAGTAGGAACTAGGACCCTGTCTCAAGGCTGTACCACCATTTGATTGTTTCTCCTCTGTTTCTGTATTCCCTCCCTTCCCTGATTAGCAATTGCTTGAATCCACCCTTTGGAACTCAGGGAAGGTCAAGGAGGCTGAATGAAGCCTATATCCTGCAGATAAGAAATGGAGAACACACAGCAGATCTGTACTCCAGAATTGCCACCCCACAGAGTCCTGTTCAGTTTTAATTTAGGGAACAGGGCAACTATGACTGTGATAACTTTCTGTCAAAATGGGGCATAGGACTGCCTCAGCTTGGAGAAGAGACACTGAATTGGAAGTATGCCTGAGTTCTAAGTCCTAGATCTGAGCCTTGTATGATTAAAATCTCAATCTCTTGCTCTGTCATTTTATTGTAACAGACCCAATTAGTAGTAGCTGGAGGAGGGATAACTGGAATTTCAGTAGACAAAATAAATCTCTCTTTTTTTTAAAGAAGAATAGGTCTGAAACCCATTCTGGACCTGGCACTTCGGGGAGACTTTTAGCCAGGTGGCCAGTTGCCTAGTTTTATAAAAAGTAAGGTAGAAGTTACTAGCTTCCAGCAGACATTATTTTGAGAATGGTGGCATCTAAGCCTGACACGACTCAGAAAACTCAAGTGTTTAGCAATACAACGTCTAATTTGAAATTTCACCCATAGTAACACCTGGTTATTTCCCAGGATGTCTGAACCATAGCTGAGTACTTTATTTTGACTTTTAATTGTAAAATTTTCCTTAATAGTCAAAGCAGATGTCACCATTAATGATGTCATTGTTTCTCTAAGTATGAGAAGATGCAAGAATTGGGACTCATAAAATCTCTTAAAAAGATCTAACTATCTGAAGGCCTGTTCTGCCAGTTTTTTTAAAGCACAGAGTGCCTCATTTCTGATTTTCACCCTGAACTTCTTTCAGGGCTGTTGAAAGTCAGCAGTTGCAGTGGCTATGATTTAATCTCTGTAGATGCAGATGGCAAGTGTCAATCTTCAGTTGGCAGAGCCCCTTTTTGCTCACAAACTTGACCATGATTTTGAGGGGGGCATTTCATGACCATTTTATCCCATGGTGCTGAGAATCCATTCTCAGGTTTGGTAAAGATTTTGTTGACAGGCCACTCAATGTGCTGTTACTGGACTAGGCCATTAAACAGTATCCAAAATTCTATGGGCCACCTGTCTTACTAGCCTCTTGGTCCAGGAAAACATTACCTCTTGTTGCTTTTTCTCATATCTAGAGTTACACTGTTATCATCATCGATCTCATAGGGAACTATATATTATTCTATCAGAGACCTCAGTCACACATTTGGCACTGTAAGAAACAGTGCACTTGGGCACTGGGGAGGTGTGGAGGCCCTCCTGGTCTGTGACAAGGATAGACTCATATTCAGGGTCCTGGAAACACTTAACCAAGTCCTCATAGAAGCCAAGGCAGCTGGGGGTGGCCAACAAAAGCCCCAAGATCAGGATTCCTGGGGCAGAGAAAGGAATGGGGGCTGGGGCTCTGTACCCTGCCCTAACTGGGACGAGCTTGTCTGTGTGGATGAGTGGGAGTGGTAAGGTCAGGAGTGTCTGTCCAATGTGTGGTTGTGAACATGTGTTTGTGATTGTGTCTGTGTTGTGTGGGATATGAATGATGTGTCAACTATGCTAGCTTTAGTTGTATGATTGTGAATGCTCACGTGTGTAGGTGTGATTGGAAAATCCTGGTTGTGTGCAGCTTCCTACTGGAGGGTAAACATGCCTGCTTCTGATGGTGCATGTGTGTGTGTGAGGTTGTCTATGATAAAGTTGCTGTGGTTGTGAGTCTCTGGTCATTGTCCTGTGTAACTGTGCATTGTTTGTGATTTTATGTGAATTGAGTATGTTGTGGGTATGAGTATACAGTGTAGGTACCTGAGTAAATGTATGGATGAATCTGTACAGAAACGTGGGAGATGTTGTAGAAATAGTGCATGTTGGCCTGTGTTTGGAGGAGGGAGAATGATATGCGTGCATTTGCTTGAGCTTGAGAGAGAATTTGATTGTTTGTGTTCTTGTGTTTGATTCTGTCTGTGTTTGAGCATGAGGTGGGACTGGGGAGCCTGAGGGTGTCTGTATTCTTTGGATACATGTCCTTTTGTGAGAGGGTGTGTGTGTGTGTGTGTGTGTGTAGCACAGTTCTCTTCGGGGAAGGGGAGAAGGGGCATTGTGACCACTTTCTCAACGACTACTCATGCCCCACAGGAACTTGCTAGCCCTGCTATTCTCCAGCCTCACAGGATTTTTGTCAAAACATTCTGTTTTCTAATGTGCAGTCAAGACTGAAAACCATAGTTAATATATAAGTCCAGAGTGACTTAGTTTTCTCCTGCACAAATAACTATTCTGATGTACAGAGATATTCACCTAAGAGTCTGAAACCCTGAGAGAGAGTCTGTGGTTTCCTTGGCGTCACTTGCCCTAAAGGGAGCAGCCAGGAGCTGTGACACGCCGAGTGCCCCTGCGCTAGCTTTAGTTTTTTGGCCGCTGAGAAGCCCCTTAGTCCAGTCTCCGTCCTGGCAGCACAGCTGAAGCTATCAGAAGCAAAGGGGTCTTCAGGGGCCACCCACTGAGGAGGAGCAGGGACCCCGCTGGTTCCCAGTGCAGGCCACTCCCAATGCCAGAAGAGCCTTCCGAAGGGGAGGCTTCTCAGGAAAGAGGAGAGGCGTGACCATGCCCCATGGGACAGAGAGTCAAGCCTCCCAGCAGCCCCCGCCTGGCCTACCTCAACCTCTGGAATCCTTTCTCCACCCGGGACAGGTTTTCCCATCTCGCTGAGTGATCGCCATTCTGTCTCAGCCCCCATGACCTTCCCCTTGAGTGGGCCCAACCCCCAGATACATTCTCCAGACCTGGATGCATCCTCTTGACTCACTTTCAACACCTGGACATATCCATAGCCCCTGACCTAGCTCCCATCCCATCTCAGAACCCACCCCTCTTTCCCTAGCCTGGCCCTATGCCCAGACTCCCTCTTGGACCCATCTTACCCGCCCCCCTCCCCGGCCTTCTCCCACTCCACAATCTAGCTCTTCTCACTGTCTCAGCGTCCAATACCTCCTTCCTCAGGTGCCTCTCTCTCAGATTCAGAGGAGGGACCCTCCTTACCTCTCATCTTGACCATGGCCCTGCAGCTCAGGCTGAGTCTGGTACAACTCTCTCTCTCTTAAAGAGGAGCCAGCTCCACCCAGAAGTCACTAGCCTCATCACAATAGGCTACCCTAGGGGCCAATTGGCTGGGCCAAGCAGAAAAGCCCTGCCCTCAAGGCCTGGCTGTCAGGTAAAGATGACTGTGGTGATTCAGTCCCACCCCCTGCCTCATCTTCTGCATCCCTATCTTCCTTCTGGCCCATCTCCCTTCCTAGGGAAAGCCCCTTCTCCCAGCTCAGGTCAGTCAGTGATGGGAAGGGGTTGTGGGAGCCAGGTGGCCCATCCCAAACCTGCTGGGACTATCTCCCAGGAAGGGGTAGGATTGGGAATGACCCTCTGGGCTGGTCTGCAAATCCAGAGTCTGGGCTCCCAGCACAGGCCAGACCTCCTGACTGCTCTCACTAGAGAATGTCCCTGTTCCGCTGGCATCTCACTGCGGAGCCTTCTGCTCCAAGGTGAGGATTCTAGCCATGAGTTCCCGGGGAGGGGTGGGGAGCACCCAGCTGCAGGCAGGTAGAGTCTCTGGTCTGGCCCGTTTGCCGTGGGGAGTGGGTGTTTTCCTCCATTCCTCTGGGTCCCCCAGGGCTTCCTTAGGCACAGGTGGGCTTCTCTGGCACTGGAATTTCTTCTTTTGGGGAATCAGGCCAGCTGGCTGTGGTATCAGTGCTAGTCTTTGTTCTCTGTGTACAGTGGAGGGAGAAGGGGGCAGGAAACCTTCACAGAGAAGCAGCCTGGGGCTAGGGAGGGGGCTGGAGTGTGAGCAGATGTCCAGCAGCTGGGACACAGGACTCAGATCCTGGGCACTAGGGTGGCATTGGAGAAAGGGCACCAGCAATGGAATCAAACAGACTGAGTTCAAATTCTGCTTAGTCATGTTGTAGCTGTATGTCTTAGGACATATAGTATGCTTCTCTGAGCCTGGGTTTCCTTATCTGTAAAACTGCGTAATAATACTTTCTTTCTTTACAGGGTATTTCAAGGATTAAATGAGATGATGTGTGAAGAGCCTGGCATAGGTAGGTACCTAAGCTGGTTTCCTTCTTTCCTTTTGGAGTTAGGGTTTGTCACACAACTGCAATATCTCTAAAAAGAGGTAGTTCCTCCATCACAGAGCTGCTGGCAGCAGCAGATAGAATGATATTATTTAAAGAGAAACCGTGTGAATTGCTGGGCAGGTCGAGGACTCTTGCTTTCTTGCTCTCACTCTATTGTTGATTCTTTACATTTTTAATAGCTTTATTGAGATATAATTTATATACCATACAATTCACCCATTTGAAGTGAATAATTCAGTAGTTTTTAGTGTATTCACAGAGTTGTGCTACTATTACCACAACTAACTTAAAACATTTTCATTATTCTTCAGAAAACTCAAACTGGGGCTCTGTAACAACCTAGAGCGTTGGGAAAGGGTGGGAGATAGGAGGGAGATTCAGAGGGAGGGGACATGTGTACAGCTATGGCTAATTCATGTTGGTGTATGGCAGAAATCCAACCAATGCTGTAAAGCAATTATCCTTCGATTAAAAATAAATAAACGAACAAACAAAAAAAAGAAATCCCATACACTTTAGCCATCACCCCCCATTCTCTGCATCCCCCCAGCCCTAGGCATCCACTATTCTGCTTCCTGCCTCTATGGGTTTGCCTGTTTTGGACATTTCATATAATTGTAATCACACAATATGTGGTCTTTTGTGGCTGGCTCCATTCATTAAACATAACATTACATTGAACATAACATCTTTAAGATTCATTCATGTTGCAGCATGTATCAGTACTTCATTTCTTTTCATGGCTGAATAACAGCCATTTCTGGCTGACTCTTGTTCCATTTATGACTGAATAATATTCTATTTATACCACATTTTGTTTATCCATTTATCTTTTGGTTTTGGCCATCTGGTGTAGTGGGAATTCCTAATAACGTACTTTCTCAGCTTTGAGAAATTCCACAGAAATATAATATGGAAAAATAACATATATTAAGAAACTATGTTAATAATTATCTTTCACATTTTTCTTAGAATAATAGCCTTGTTACAAACCCCAAGGCCAGACCCAGAAGGGAGTATGACTGGGATCATGAAAGCATAGACTTTGGAACACCAGGTCGGCGCCAGGCATGAATGCTGCCTATGCACTTGCTGGTTGTTCTTGAGACTTGCCCCAAAAGGAAATAGCCTGGGATAAAAACAAGGAAATCTGGATTATGTCAATGTAATCCATGACATTTAGGAGTACGTGATTGAAACAGAATATGTCTTGAGAAAGATAAGACCAAAAAAATTCTTGTAGTCTGCACCTAGGAATAAAATCTGGACTCAGAGTGGACTCTGCATCTCAGTCCAGTAGAGGCTGCAGGTCTCCTGACCCATTGCACCAGATTTCGTGTTCTGTCTTCATTCTCATCACTTGTTCCCAGACCATTGCGGCAACAATCTGGTTTCCCACTTTCTAGCTGTTATACACAGTGTGGCTATAAACATTCTTTTTATGTGGATATAGATTTTCATTTTTCTTAGGCATACACTTTGGAGTGGCATTGCTAGGTTACATGTTAGTTCCGTGTTTCACCTTTTGAGGAACTGCCAGATTGGTTTCCAAAATGGCTGCACCATTTTGCTTTCCCACAAGCAACGAATGAGAGTGCCAATTTCTTCTCATTCTCCATGACACTTGTTATTATCTGTGCTTTTGATTATAGCCATCCTAGTGGGGGTGAAGTACTATTTCATTGTTTTCTCATTTGCACTTCCCTGATGATAAGTGACTTAGAACTCAACATCTAGAAAACAAAGATCATGGTATCTGGTCCCATCACTTCATGGCAAATAGATGGGGAAATGATGGAAACAGTGCCAGACTTTATTTTCTTGGGCTGCAAAATCACTGCAGATGGTGACTGCAGCCATGAAATTAAAGATGCTTACTCCTTGGAAGAAAAGCTATGACCAACCCAGACAGCATATTAAAAAGCAGAGACATTACTTTGCCACCAAAGGTCTGTCTAGTCAAAGCTGTGGTTTTTCCAGTAGTCATGTATGGATGTGAGAGTTGGACCATAAAGAAAGCTGAGCACCAAAGAATTGATGCTTTTGAACTGTGGTATTGGAGAAGAGTCTTGAGATTCTCTTGGACTGCAAGGAGATCCAATCTGTCAATCCTAAAGGAAATCAGTCCTGAATATTCATTGGAAGGACTAATGTTGAAGCTGAAGCTCCAATACTTTGGCCACCTGATGTGAAGAACTGACTCATTTGAAAAGACCCGATGCTGGGAAAGATTGAAGGCAGGAGGAGAAGGGGATGACAAAGGATGAGATGGTTGGATGGCATCACTGACCTGATGGATATGAGTTTGAATAAGCTCTGGGAGATGGTGATGGACAGGGAGGCCTGGTGTGCTACAGCCCATGGGGTCACAAAGAGACACGAATGATCGACTGAACTGAACTGAACTGAACTGATGATCAGTGACCTTGAGCATCTTTTCTTCTTCTTAATGGACATCTGTATATCTTCTTTGGAGAAATGTTCATTCAGATCCTTTGCCCATTTTTTCATTTGGTTAGTTGTCTCTTTATTATTGAACTGTAAGTGTTCTTTATGGTAGCTCAGCTGGTGAAGACTGTGCCTGCAACACAGGGAAGATCCGCTGGAGAAAGGATAGGCTATCCACTCCAGTATTCTTGGGCTTCCCTTGTGGCTAAGATGGTAAAGGGTCCACCTACAATGTAGGAGACCTGGTTTTGATCCCTGGGTTGGGAAGATCCCCTGGAGGAGGATATGGCAACCCACTCCAGTATTCTGGCCTGGAGAATCCCCAAGGACAGAGGAGCCTGGTGGGCTACAGTCCATGGTGTCACAAAGAGTCCTCGGGGTTACAAAGAGTTGGACATGACTGAGCGACTAAGCACAAGGATTCTTGATATTGTAGATAAAATCCTTTTCACGTATATGATTTGCAAATATTTCTGGCAGCCCCATTCCATGTGTTGTCTTTTTACTTTCTTGATGGTGTCCTTTGAAGCACAAATGTTTTTAATTTTGAAGAATCTTTATTTTTCCTTTTGTTACTTCTGCATTTGGGGTCCTAAGAAACTATTGCCTAATCCAAGATCATGAAGACGTATGCTTTGCTGTCTTCTAAAAGTTTTATATTTTTAGCTCATACGTTGAAGTCTTTACTCCATTTGAAGTGATATTTATACATGATGTGAGGTAGAGTTCCAACTTCATTCTTTTGAATGCAACTATTCATTGTCTCAGCACATTTTATTAAAAGAGCTATTCTTCCCTCCCTGGCTCCTACGGGCAGGCAGGCTGCTCTGAGGAGGCGAGGAGGGGAGGGCTGGGCCAGCTGCAGGGCAGACAATGATGTCAAACTTCTGCGCAGGCCCCCAGCTGCACGCAGAAGAGCATGCAGTCAGACCTGGCCTTCTTCAGGTTCCCGCGGGATCCGGCCAGATGCCAGAAGTAGGTGGTGAACTGCAGGCGAGCAGATTTAGAAGATAAAAAGCTAATCAACTAAATAAACATTATTGACCGTGTGCCAGACATTTTGAAACTTCTATGATCTGCAGAACTAGTCCTTATGGGACCGTTCTCTGAGATAATGCAATTCCAATAGTATTCGATCTCATCAGCCATTTGAATAATCCACATGGTAGACACAGAAAGTGAATAAAAATAATTGAGTGAAGATGAAATTGAGACACTGAAACAGAAAAAAAGTGCAGTGTTAATGACTCAACCCCTGAATGCCTTTTTAAAAACGTTGACCTGTTGATGAAACTTCTGAACAGGAACCAAAACAAAAGGAAATAAACAGGAGCAATGCTCAAAATTCCAGTGCAGAAGGAGGAGGTGAAGAGCAGGATGAAGACATTTTACCTTTAACACTTGAAGAGAAGGAAAACAAAGAATACTTAAAGTCTTTATCTAAAATTTTGATTCTTATGGGAAAACAAAACATACCTCTGGATGGCCATGAAGCTGATGAGATCCCAGAAAGTCTTTTTACTCCTGATAACTTTCAAGCTCTGCTAGAGTGCTGGATCAGTTCTGGTGAAGAGGTTCTTAGAAAGCACTTTGAGATAACAAAGCGCTTTTAACACATTGTTCTGTTCAGAAACACAGCAGAAATAGATGCTAGAGATCTGTGAGAGCCGCATTCGGGAAAACGCTCAGGGAAGTGAGAGACTCACTTCTTTTCCATCATCACTGACGATGTGGTGGACATCGCAGGGGAAGAGCATCTGCCTGTGTTGGTGAGGTTTGTTGACGAAGCTCACAACTTGAGAGATGAATTTGTAGGCTTCTTGCCTTATAAAGCTGATGCAGAAGTTTTGGCCGTGAAATTTCACACTATAATAACTGAGAAATGGGGATTAAACATTGAGTACTGTCGTGGCCTGGCTTACTTTATGTCTAGTGGATTTTCATCCAAATGAAAGTTGTTGCTTCTAGATGTTTAGAGAAATATCCCCAGGTTACACACTCTGCTCTTCCTGTACCTTAAATATGTGGCTGGCAAAAGCAGTGCCTGTTATGGGAGTATCTGTCTCATTAGGAACAATTGAGGAAGTTTGTTCTTTTTTCCATCAATCACCACAACTGCTTTTAGAGCTTGAAAGTGTAATTTTTGTCCTCTTTCAGAACAATGAAGAAAGGGGCAAAGAACTGAAGGGAATTTGTCATTCTAGGTGGACAGGTAGGCATGATGCTTTTGAAATCTTAGTGAACCTCCTACAAGCACTTGTTTTATGCTTAGATGGTATAAATATTGATACAAATGTTAGATGGAATAACTGTATAGTTCAAGCATTTGTGCTCTGTAGTGTGGTGACAGGTTTTGATTTCATGGTTACCATTGTTGTTCTTTAAAATGTTTTATCTTTTACAAGAGCCTTTGGGAAAAATCTTCAGGGGCAAACCTCGATGTCTTTTTTGCAGCCAGTGTTACATTCACTAAATGAAGTGATGGAAAATATTGAAGTTTGTCATGAATTTTGGTTTGAGGAAGCCACAGATTTAACAACCAAACCGTATTCAGATGAAACTCCCAGGGAAATTTCACAGAGCTCAGCACAGTAACCTGGAGTCTCAGCTAACCTCTGAGAGTCACTATAAAGAAACTCTAAGTGTTCCAACTGTGGAACACATTATTCAGGAACTGAAAGATATATTCTCAGAACAGCACCACAAGGCTCTTAAATGCTTATCCCTGGTACCCTCTGTCATGGGACAGCTCAAATTCAATACGTCGGAAGACAGCCATGCTGACATGTACCGGAGTGACTTATCTAATCCTGACACACCCTCTGCTGAGTTGCATTGTTGGAGAATCAAATGGAAACACAGAGGGAAAGATACAGAACTTCCATCCGCTATTTATGAAGCCCTTCATCTACCAGACATTGTTTTTTCCTAATGTTTATGCATTGCTGAAGGTCCTATGTATTCTTCCTGCAATGAAAGTTGAGAATGAATGCTATGAAAATGGGCAAAAGCATCTCAAAGCATACTTGAGGAACACGTTGACATATCAAAGGTCAAGTAACTTGGCTTTGCTTAACATAAGTTTTGATATAAAACACGATTTGGATTTCATGGTCAATACATATATCAAACTCTATACAAGTAAGTCAGAGCTTCCTACAGATAATTCAGAAACCATTGAAAATACCTAAGAGACTTTTAACCTAGACTTTCTCTTGTATTTGATATTTGAAAAAAAGCCTGTAAGAAATTTTAAAAATATCTTACAGAAAAATTGTAAGGGTAGGCCACATAATCACTGAATATCTTGACCTGTAGGCCTCCCATTGAGTTCATTAGTCATTGATAATTTACCTGTTTAAATGGCCTGTTTGAATGCCCATACTTTGGAGACCTAACTGTTTTTCCATAACAAAGCATTGAAAGTACCATGTTACATTTGTATGTGATGTCTGCCAATGGCACTTTGGAATTGTTTTAGTTATTTTAGACATTATGTTTATCGCTGTGGATCCAATTGTCAGGTATTAAGTTATCAGATCTTTGAAAAAATAAAATTAGAGGAGGTATGGGAGGAAGGAACACATTTTGTAAAATGTTACAATGAAGCTCATGATTGACTTTCAAATAGTAGAAGTTTTAAGTATGCTATTAAAAATCTGTAAAGGACAGTTAAGAAAACTATCAGACTGTAAGAGAAATGTGTGAGCTTGTCAAACAAGGGTTTCAGTGTAGATTTTGTCTTTATCAAATGAAGTTAAAGCAACAAGTTAAAGTTTGAATGGAAGAGCCTGCCATTGTTGTTCCACATCTGGTTATTGCTGTTTACATTCCTTTATTGAGCCTACGTCTTCATAAGCTCTTTGGCAGGTATATGTTGAA